TTATACTCCAAATTAAAATGACGTAATATTTCATAGACAACTAATTTAACTGTTTAACTCAAAAAATTACAATATCACGAATAAAACTTTAATCTTTTTCTACTTTTGAGGTAATATTAAAATGTAAGTTCAAACACTTTCAAACACAATTATACTCCAAATTAAAATGACGTAATATTTCATAGACAACTAATTTAACTGTTTAACTCAAAAAATTACAATATCACGAATAAAACTTTAATCTTTCTCTACTTTCGAAGTAATACTAAAATATAAGTGTTCAAACACTTTCAAACACAATTATCACACTCCAAATGACTTCATAACATCGTAACATTTTATTTTATTTCAATTCAAATTCGCTGGTTGTTAACTCAATGAACAACACAATGTAAACAAAGTATCTTCCACTCCCCTGTACAATTTTCAAACAATTTACCAACTCGTAGGTTCTGTTCACCGTAAATTGAAACATCGCGCAACGCCTGTGAAATTTTACAGGCGTTGCGCGACTACGCGAATAAATCGTGCCCGGTCTTATTAATACTACTCAGTTCGAAAACCAACTTCACAAAAAACGTGGCCAAGTTGGTTCGAAGTTGGAAAACGTCGCCGATATCGCCTCGATATACGCGAAAGGCGCGAGCTACGGGAGAGATTGCGGCCGGCGCAACTTTATCAATAAATCAGATTAATTGTGAGTGTTACGGAGGGCTCGGTCGGTAATTAATACGCCGGATGTTATCTCCGCGACGTGCTTAATCGCCCCGGCTATTTATTCCTTACGGGCCAGGCCGGTTAAAGCGGATTTCAAACTGGATAAATCGTTCGGTTTTCGATCGGGGGGAGAAAAAAAAAAAAAAAAAAAAGGGAAAAAAGAGAGAGAATTGTTGGAAACTCTTGGAAATGACTGTTACTTTTTTTTTTTTTCTAGACAAAACGAGATCCAGTAATGTTTATTGCACGATGCGAAAGACTGTATCGTGGATTAAAAGCGCCACTGATAGCCAAACGCGTTTAACAGACGCGCGAGTGTCCTCGTTGTTGTATCGACGATTCGCGTAGTTAAGTTTTAAATGCTACTTTTTACACGAGAACGATACCAGAGAAAGGTTTTTTTTTTTTTTTAGAAAGTGCATGTTTAAAAAAATTCCCGAAACAGAGAAAATGTTTGTATCGTGGAACTAAATTTTAAATTATCATTTATTTTCTTCTGAATTTAGAGAATGTTGGCTCGCAGTTCGTATCGGTACTCGATAACCACTAAACATAAATATTTCTCAGTCGTCTTGAAACATTCGAACAACGAGTTATCCAACAAGCTAATTGGGAAATCATTGTCAATCGTTATTAAATCATTATTAACCGTCGATAGACATTTTTATTTAGCCACAGAGCGATACAACGCTTGATGATAATGTTACATTGAAACAAAAATTCGGATAAAAGAGTTGTGTAAAACTAAACTGAAAATTTTCGACGAGATTAACAATTATCCTCAGAATTAACGAGTTTCACGTGTGATGACAGAATCATTTGCAGCGGTCGCTCTGTCATTACTGGCTAAAAAAGAGAAAAATGCAAATGAAAGGGATCGGGACGAAGTGGACGGAGGTCGGGCGAGAAATTTGCTATTTATTAAAAAAGTTTCGAGGCAAACGCCGCTGCCACGGCAGTAGTTTAATTTTTTGCCGAAAGTTACGTCGCTGAAAGGATAGTGAAAAGGTTCCTTTTTCTTTTTTTTTTTTTTCTTTTTTCTTCTTTTAATAACAGAGCACTTTCTCTGGTTTCTTCTCTTTGTCGTTCGTTGTCTCGTATAAATCAGGGATCGGCGAAAGTTACGGGGCTTTTCTTCTAGGTTCTGTCTGAAAAGTGTTCTTACGTCGCATTGTCTCAACACACACATACACACACACACACACGACAAACGCAAACTTACTTGAGAAACGTGAAGAAAGAAAATTTGTTCGTCGATGTTAAAAAAAAAGAAAAGAGAAGAAAAAGAAATGCTCGATATTTCTTTACAAATGTCGAGAAGTGTTGCTTTTTTTTTTTTTTTTTTTCTTTTTAACATTGACAAACACGACGCGGGGAATAACTTGCCACAAGCATGGTAATATTTACAGGGCCTTTATTTTCGGTAAGTGAACGAAGTATGACAGCTTTTACAATCGATCGAGGGTGGTTGGCGCAACTGAGAACGCCTCGCATTACATCGTGTTACGTGTAACATTAATCAACCTCTCGTCTAATCGTCGATCCAATTAACCCCGATGTCTCCTGTTGTCCACACACACACACACACACACACACACACACATTTTACGTACGTCTCGGCTGTGTCCGCGTATATTTCTTCTTAATTATTACGTCAATTACTTTACGAACTACACTTTCTCTCTCTTTGTCGTCACTTTTCACGCTCCTTTCATTTCCACGTGTTTCCCATTTCTTTAAAAAAGAAAAAGAAAAAGAAAAGAAAATTAAAGAAAGAAAGTGTCGCGAGTTACTCTGTGCACCTCTGTTTCAACTGTCAGAGAGCTTTCATTCAAACACCAACGCCGGCTGCGTTCATCAACGGCGTCTCTGTTTGCAGAAATGATTTTAAAAACGATCAAGGCGAAAGGGAATTTTGAATAATTAGACGGCTAGCTGCGAAGTGAGAAACGCGCTCCCGTTTTGTAAAGAAAGCTTTTGTGTCGGATGTTTAATCTCACTGGGTAAACGAGAAACTAGCACTCTACTCGCGTCTTTTTTTTTTTTTTGTTTCTTTTTTTATTCTTACAATTATAAATAGTATCGGGAGAAATTAAATAATTTAAGTATCGTTTCTAACGATAAAACGATAAAATTCTTTTGTTGAAATTTCAATGTTGAGTGTTGGAGGGTGAGAAGCAAGCGCGCCTTTGTCAAATCTCTAGAAAACTTGGGCGCTGCTTGAACGAAAAATTAGAAATTAAAGAGATTAAAATTTATAATATAACTTCACATGTAACGTATGAAATGTATTTAAAATATAACTACAATTATATTCAATTAAATAAAATGAAATTATACAAAAGTAGTATATAAAATTACATAACAGTACGAAATAACAGAGCATGAACAATAATAATACCATGAAATAGCCTTTTTTTTCATTGTACCTTTATTGCAAAATATTTTTAATGAATTAAACATTCGTTTCAACATTCATTGGAGAATATTACGAGACACACGGTGTATACACTGACTATGATCCTGTGTATACACTGACTATCGTGTAACTTACATCGCTAAACACGTTTATGATTAAGAGGGTTCCGGTTATTGTTTATACATTGTTTTTTAGTCCCACGTTTAGGCGACGCGCGAGGTCGTCGATAAAAATCGGCTCACCTCTCGAGAAATGTATTCGATCATGTTGTTCCTGAATTCGAGTATTGTACGAATTGTTCACGTGTTTGTAATTGACACGTTGGTGATTTGTCTCGAGTATTGCTGTATTCTATTCTTTTATGAAATATGATTTAGACCAGCGTCGAATTGTATCACGATTAGATTTTGTCGTTTCTTTTTTCCCCTCTTTCGCTTTCCCTGTTTTTTTTTTTTTTTTTTTTTTTTTCTTTTTTTTTTTTTTTTTTTTTTTTTTTCTGGAAAACATCATAATTATCTCGACGACAGACTTTGCCAGTCGATCGAGAAGACGAAGGAGAAAAATTTACTTTCTGATTTGCGAAGTGATCCGAATTGAACAGCGTTGCTTCTTTTGTCATTCGGCGATCAATGTTTCATTGACTTTTTAAACAAATGGTAAATCTTTGACAATTAATAACTTTCCGCGAACGTTTGTTAATAATAATAATTTAATTATTAATAATGTTAATATAACAAAATAATATATATTAATATAAATAAATATATATTAATAATATAATAATATATATATAAATAATATATATTAATAATATAATAACAAAGTATCGTCGATTACTGTTTGTCACATTCGCAATATTGTCACGTTCGTGTGAAAATTTTAAAGATCCTTCGATGCTGTTCGAAATAACAATAATTCCATGTTTTGATAATAATTCCAATTTAAACAGTACCGTAACGAACAGATTGAAATCGATTCGAAAGTGATTGAAAAACAACTGAACTACCGACTGAAAGTATAGTATTAATGTATTAATGTACCAAAGAAATTAGAGTGCAAAGTGTAGGAAAAATAATAATAATAATAATAATAATAATAATACAACACATAAAAAAAATACAGAAAAATATATATATATATTTTTTGTTAAAAAATCACTCGAGCATCTAAAAATATACAAAATTCCCATAATTTGGAAATTTCGTATTCCAAATTATACAAATTGTCAATCATTTTGACCATTTTGTTCAGACCACCAGTGGCTGGCGAAAATTGTCCCATCGTAGTTGATATATATATATATTCATATCCGTTTCCATTCTGTCGAAACCACCCTCCCTCGAGAATTCTTTTCTCTTTTCTCGCTCAAAAGCGAAAGCGCTGGGAAACGAGCAACTTTTATCGACAGCCTCTCGGCGAACGTCCCTGGAATCAAACGACGATCTAAATACAGCACGGAGAAACACGGATCAACCCCTCTCCATGCTACGTAGTTTCTCGCTCACCTACACACTGCATATTTACACACCGTCCATGCACGTCCATACACGCGCGTATAGACACTCTTATCGTTTACAAATATCAAAAGGATTTCGCTCTCGATTCGACATGGCCGTTTTCGCGGCAGAGTCGGGTGGCAGACGGGTTGAATTCGATTTTATACCGCGTCCATTCCTCCACAGGGGAAGGTTTCAGAGCGGCGTCCCCTCGGTGGCCTCGCCTCCCCCTTATATGGCCTTCTCTCGTGGTTTCACGCGACGCAGAGAGGACGTTTTCGCGAGAAAATCGAGTGAATTTCCTCGGGACCACGTTGGCCGAGAATGATCGCGGAGCGAAGGGAAATTGTCTTTCGATCGCGAGCAGAGAGCCGCGACATTTGCGAGAGAATCGTGTCCCAGGGCGGGTCAAGTTTGGAGAAAAAGGAAAGAAATTCTGCTTGGGGACGAGAATAAATTCACCCTTTGAGTGGTTTAGCTTGTGTCGAAGCATAATTGGCGAGTAATTTCGAATTAATAAAAAATTAACAATAAATAAAAGCTTCTAGTTTTTTTTTTCTTTTCTTTTTTTCTTACTTTAATTCTCTACTGGAAATTTTACGTTTCAATTTTATGTCGGTGGTTCTAGAAGATGGTATTTCATGTCAGAGGTTAAAGGAGGATAAAGAGTATTGGAGTAAAATATGCATTCTTGATACTCCTCACTCGGTATCAAACTTCAATCAATCTGTGTGATAATTTCAGCGAGCACACTTAAAGCGTTAATGCACAAACATCGATAAATAATGATTGAATACTTTAGCACTTATTTACATTCAGATTTTTTCTGTTTTTGGGTAAAATGATTTGATCCTGATTAAAGAAAGGCTTGGTTGCGAATCTTTTCTTAGTTTTGCAAAGCTACTAGCGACGGATAAAATTATTATAATTTTGAAATTATTATAAAATTATTATAATTTAAAAATATTATAAAATTATTATAATTTAAAATTATTATAAAATTATTATAATTTAAAAATATTATAAAATTATTATAATTTTAAAATTATTATAAAATTATAATTTAAATTATTATATTTTTGTTTATTAATTTAATAAGATTATTATAATTTTAATAACGTTGTTAGACTCCTTTCGCTGCAAAGATACCAGCAATATATATCAAATTAAATGAAATTGTCAAACGAATTTAATTTCAATATTAACACATTAAAGAGACAAACGATTCTTATTCTATCGATCAATTTATATCATCAATGTTGAAACTATAAATTATTATTGTAATAAATACCACTATGATACTTGTGTCTTCCACTTACATCCTACAATAAAATTTAAAATACTCTTGAATTCGATACTTCGAAACGAATTCAGTCACGAAAATTACGTAGAGAAGACAATTCTCTAACAATTATTTTGAATCACAACACAGATCGTTGGAAATTATTAAAATTTACCAATCGTGTTATTACAGTTAAATCTAATATATCAGATTGATGAAATTATCGAGAATTTAATTTCGTTGTGATAAAATGGTCTTTAACGTGGTAGCCACAAATTTACAGGGAAAATAATTCTCCAATATGAATCACAATGTGTGATCGTTGAAACTTATTTACCAAGAAAATTATTTACTAGTTTACCAATTATTATTAGAGTCGAGTGTAAAGTTGCTACCATTGTACCAAATTGACGAAATTATCGAGCGAATTTACACTCTGGAATTTAATTTCGTATTATAATAAATTGTTGCTTAATCTCTAATGAATTAAATTACACAGGGAAAATAAAATTGTCAACCTGTTTAGAACAGATTGTTAAAAATTATTTACCAACTACTGACTAATTCACCAATTATCGATCTTGCTATTAGAGTCGAGTGTAAAGTTGCTACCAATATACCAAATTTACGAAATTATCGAGCGAATTTACGTTTTAGAATTTAATCTGCTCGATCTTCAATGAATTAAACTACACAGGCAAAAAAAAAAATCTCAACGTATTTAGAACAGATTGTTAAAAATTATTTACCAATTAATTCACCAATTATCGATCTTGCTATTAGAGTCGAGTGTAAAGTTGCTACCAATATACTAAATTGACGAAATTATCGAGCGAATTTACGTTTTAAAATTTAATCTGCTCGATCTTCAATGAATTAAACTACACAGGCAAAAAAAAAAAAAAAAGTAAATCTCAACGTATTTAGAACAAATTGTTAAAAATTATTTACCAATTAATTCACCAATTATCGATCTTACTATTAGAGTCGAGTGTAAAGTTGCTACCAATATACCAAATTTACGAAATTATCGAGCGAATTTACGTTTTAGAATTTAATCTGCTCGATCTTCAATTATTAAATGAATTGAACTACACAGAAAAAATAAAATTCCCAACGTGTTTAGAACAGATCGTCAAAAATTATCGACCGACTAATTATTACACTGTCGACAATTATCGACCAAATTTACCGATCTTGCTGTTTAGAGTCGAAGTGCAAAGTTGCTACCAATGTTGCCAGATCGAGCGGAATTATCGAGCGAATTTACATTTCGGAATTTAATCTCAAGTCGCAGGCTTCGAGCCGCGCTTATGACTCGCAGTATCTTTGGCACCTTGGCGGGTATCCAGGCCGTAACAGGAATGTTCAATACGATATATTAAACTCGAGGAATGTTCACGGTTAAACAGGCTCGAGCGCGCCCCGGAACAAGTTCATCGAGTTCAATTTACCTTTTCTCATCTGCTTTTTCATTGCGCGGCCGTCCTACGTTGTTCCACAGTTTCACCGTTTCGCGGACAAACGAAACATCGTTCTGAAATATTTATTTCGCAAGCTAACGGAGTTACCGAGTCGCCTTTGTGCTACGCTTTCGTCGCCATGGCGACATTTGTTACGCAGAAATTGTTCCTCGCCAATATTATTCCGCGCGCTGGCCGAATAATATTGAAATGAACGTGAAAAATCAGAAAATCTACGAATACACGTGCGCGTGGACAGCAGACATATTACACATCGACAAATTTTTGCGGAACATCTAAAACCGTGGTTCTCAACCGTGGTGATTTTCTAGGGCGAAGGAAAGAATCTTTTTTCTTTCTTTGTTTAGAGTTTAAAGTTAATGACTTTTTAAGCGTCGAACAGTCACTTTTTGAATAATTTTGGGGAATCATATGTCAGAAGGACGCTTAGTTGGGAACCACTGATCTAAAAGGAAGTGTTCAACGAGTCGAATCAACTGTTAACAATTAGTTGATCGGATAATAAATATTTTCTAAACACCTACGTGAAAAGAAACTTACGAGGATAGTCCGATTAACTATGTCACTGCGTGGATTCAGTAAAAAAGATTCGTCTTAATTAACGCGTATCGTGTATTGATTAATCACACACCAAATATGGAAAACGCGACCAACCTACATATTATTTCCGTCATTTGAAACAGAAATTCTTAGCAATCAATAGAGGACGACGTACAAAAGGCCCATTTATACTGTCGACGAGCGGTGCGCGAACAGAGTCGAAGCACGTATCGACAGTGTTTCATTATGTAATTTCGATCGTAACGTAATGTCGATCGCTGTAACGAAAGAAATCGAGCGTTCAACGCGTCGGCGTACTTTTCATTCCCAGCCGGAGGATTCAGCCGCGATGGCCGTCGCGTCGGTGGAAGAGAATCGAATGAAAAGGAGATGAGAAAGGAGACGGAAGCGTCCATTCAATTTGGATCGATCGTAAGATTGAGAGAGTTCCTTCTATGGAGCCAATTGCTGGATCGCGGTGTAAAATTTTTTGTTTAATCTTCGCTTTCCAACGGAGCGAACGCCGGATCGGGGCCGAACGAGTTCTTTGACAATTCGTTGCCAACGAATCGAGCGCGGGGGCTCGCGCGAACCTCGCTGCCACGGTCGCGGAGTTAATTTTTTCAAATGACGGTGCAGTCGAGCGGAGCGCGGACTCTAATGGATCATTCTGAAGAGAAAATTTCAATCTTCGACACTGTGATGGATTCAGTCGTGAAAAAGATTTTCCCAATGCTCTCGGAGGTGTTCGAATTTTTGCGATTCAAGGGGAAAATTCGTGACACTCACGTTTCGTTGTTTCATTCTAATATTTAGAGATTGATATAATCGTGCAGCAAGCTTTATATATCCAGTATATAATAGGATACAATATAAAATTATATAGTACAATGATAAATATTAATATAGAAATATGTCGTTAATAAAAATGACAAGATAATTTTATGACGATTTAAAGCGATTTTCGTAAAAGAGGAAGTGTCGCGGAGTTAATTTTTTCAAATGACGGTGCAGTCGAGCGGAGCGCGGACTCTAATGGATCATTCTGAAGAGAAAATTTCAATCTTCGACACTGTGATGGATTCAGTCGTGAAAAAGATTTTCCCAACGCTCTCGGAGGTGTTCGAATTTTTGCGATTCAAGGGGAAAATTCGTGACACTCACGTTTCGTTGTTTAATTCTAATATTTAGAGATTGATATAATCGTGCAGCAAGCTTTATATATCCAGTATATAATAGGATACAATATAAAATTATATAGTACAATGATAAATATTAATATAGAAATATGTCGTTAATAAAAATGACAAGATAATTTTATGACGATTTAAAGCGATTTTCGTAAAAGAGGAAGTGTCGCGGAGTTAATTTTTTCAAATGACGGTGCAGTCGAGCGGAGCGCGGACTCTAATGGATCATTCTGATGAGAAAATTTCAATCTTCGACACCGTGATGGATTCAGTCGTGAAAAACATTTTCCCAACGCTCTCGAAGGTGTTTGAATTTGATTCAAGGGAGAATTCGAGAAACTCTGACGTTTCGTCGTTCAACTCTAATGTTCGGAGATGAAATTTTGCAACAAATTTCAATGAATCGTTGTTAGGAGTAAGTTTCAATCTTCAACGTTATAATCGATTTAGCCGTGAACAAAGTTTTCAATGTTTTCAGAGATGTTGGAATTTTTACAATTCAAGACAAATATTCCAAAAATCTTGACATTTCTCCGTTTAATTCCAATGTTCGAAGATTAATAAATTCTCTGAGAAAGGATCGTATAGAAAGTTTCAATGAATCATTGTAAAAAGGAAATTTCAATCTTCAACAGTATGATGGATTTAGTTGTGAACAAATTTTCCAATGTTGTCAGAGACGTTTGAATTTTTGCAGTTCAAGACAAAAATTCCAGAGATATTGATATTTAACTCTAACGTTCAAAAACGAATAAAGCCTTTGAAAAAAAAAGATGGTGCAGCAAATTTTAAGGAGTCGTTCTACATTAGAAAATTGGAAATGGATCCAGTCCCGAAGAAGAAAAATTCAACGTTCATCACGAAAGTAACCTTATTTTATAAAAAAAACATCTCTGCCAAGGAGGCTAGAAGAAAACTCGCTCATTTTAAAAGAACAATTACGAAATATTGATAAACGAATATCGATACGTGCTTCTGACTGATAGAATGCTGGAAGAAACCTCGCTCGTGTTAAAGAACAATTACGAAATATTGATAAAATAATATCGATACGTGCTTCGATATGGTAGAAACGGGCCTCAAAAAATCTACGATCCAGTCGACACCGAGCCGAGACAGTCTCGCTGAAACTCAACCTTTCGTTCCCTCAAACAGAGAACTTTCTGCTAATTTTCTCTCCGCTCTCTCTCTCTCTCTCTCTCACACACACACGCGCGCGCACACACACACACACACACACACTCTCTCTCTCTCTCTCTTTTTCCTCTCGTCGAAGAATTTTCAATTTCCCTTTGTCCCGCGATGAATCTGCACGGCGCACGGCAGGATTCGTCGCGCTACGAGGACGAAGCACGAGGCGACCGATCCGAGGTGATCCGGGTCATCTATCGAAGCCAGCATCTTTTCGAGAATCTTTTTCAACTTGGCTTGAAAATAATTTCGTACCTCGACCGCGATTCGCCCTTCACCCCCGTTGTGAGGCGTAGCGCGACAACGTTTTCAGGATCGTTTCAAACCTTTAACCGATGCGAAGGAAAGGGTGGAAGAAGGCCACGCGTAGCCGTGGCGTGGTGTTTTCATCGTTCACTACCCGTGGTGGTAGTAGATCTTGTCGTTGCAGTTGCACGTGGCGCCGCAGAACTTCCGCCGCTCCCGGCCCTCGTTCGTGTTCGTCTCGCAGACCCAGGAACGAAACGTCCTGGCCAGTTCCGCGCAGTTCGACCAGAGATCCGTGTAGTAGCACGCGTTCGTGCACAGTTTGTTGTTGCGCGAACAGTGGTCCTTGCACATGCTGCACGGCTTCCCCGGCACGTACGGATGGCCCAGGCGACCCTTGTAGTTGCCGCTGCAAGACGAAACGATTGGCGGAGGCCAATTAGAAAAGAAATTGTAACGGCAGTTCGTTTGACGAGGACTCGTGCCGTTTATCTCGAAGACGGCCCGAGTCCGTTTTCCAAGAAAAAAAGAAGGAAATCATGCTGGCTGTTTCAGTATTTACATTTCTACGTTAACTTTTCATGTTTAAACAAATTGTAACTAATATCTTTATAAAGAAATAAATTATTATATAATGTAATATTATTGAATAGTTATTAGTGAATAGAATGAATTTATAAACAATATATTTATAATCACTAAGTCATTGCACGAAAAATTAGCTGGTTAATAGAATGATAAAAATTTTTATTGTGAAAGTGGCCCAAGTCCATTCTCCAAGAGAAAAAGAAAGAAATCAAGCTGGCTGTTTCAGTATTTACATTTCTACGTTAACTTTTCATTTTTAAACAAATTGTAACTAATATCTTTATAAGTAAATAAATTATTATATAATGTGATATTATTGAATAGTTATTAGTGAATAGATAATAATGAATTTATAA